CTCTTCACTTCCAACAACCTTTGCTGTCCCTCCACTTTTGCCACCTATCCCCTCAGCCATACCCTAATCCTTTTTTCTTCACTGGGAACTGTTCCATTTCTGCAGTTTACTTTCTACTCTCTGATCACAACTTTTTCCCAGTTCCTACCACGTCCCTCCCGCTCTCACTTACCACACTCCTATTCCTGTTTTTTTGTTTGTTTGTATGTTTGAGATGGAATCTCACTCTGTTGCCCAGTCTGGAGCACAGGAGCATGATCTTGGCTCACTGTAACCTCTGCCTTCCAGGTTCCAGTGATTCTCCTGCCTCAACCTCCTAAGTAGCTGAGATTATAGGCACATGCCACCGTCCCAGGCTAATTTTTGTATTTTCAGTAGAGATAGGCTTTCACCATGTTGGCCAGGCTGGTCTCGAACTTCTGACCTCCGTGATCTTCCCACCTTGTTCTCCCAAAGTGCTGGGATTACAGGCATGAGCCACTGCACTTGCCCACACTCTTATTCTTTGACCTCATTCATAATTTTAAGCCCCTTGATCCTTCCATTTTATTCTAGCTTATCAGTTCCCTCCTGGACCCACACCTTCTCTGCCAACCTCAAATTCCATGTTTCATCATGAAACAACTCTTGCTCCAGGACCTGTGATTTTGCTGTATTCCTATGCCTCTAACAAATTAACAAAATTCCATCTCCATTTGCTTTTAAATAATCCAGTGAAGAATGTGGCCACACACAGAAGGTTACAGGGGGTAATAACTGTTGAAACTGGAGGATGAATATGTGAGGGCTCATTACATTATTCCCCCTATTTTCACATATGTTGGCAATTCTCATAATAAAACATTAATTTCAAATATCATGTTGATAGATATGTGGTAAAGCAAGCAAAATGTTGATTGTAGCAACAAGGTGATGGGAATATGGGTGTTCACTATAAAATTATTCTGCTTTTTTGCATATTTGAACATTTATAGAATAAAATGTAAGGAAAAAAATCACTATCCTCAGTTCAGTACAATGTAAATCCTCTGCTCCTATTTCTGGGCATCTGAAGATGTTAGAGAAAAATAACCAATATGAACTCAAATCAGAAAGTCTGGTGGGCCTTCAATAACATTTATCAAGCCTTCTATTTATCCTTGGGTATATCCTACTTTCCTGAATGATTATTCTCCATCCTTTTCCCCACTCCTAGCATTGTCTTACAGAATAATGTTCACTGAGAAAACGGAGGGTATTAGACATGCTGTCACTCAATGTCCCACAAACTTAAGATACTCACCTGTACCCTTCCTCACCTTTCCTTCAGTTTCAGCCCTTCCAGTGTGCCTTCCCACCGTGTCCAGCCACCCACTTCTTCTGCACATTGTCTTTAATCTCAGTCATCCCCTCTTCTAAGTGTCTTTCCCTTAGCTTGTAAACTCAAGGCATATCTTTCCCATCCTTAAAAAATGCCTCTCCTGACTCTAGGTTCCCTCCACCTTGATTCTAATGTACTGAAAGGTACAGACAGTCCTTCAAACTCAAATACTTCACTTATTAGTCTCCCAACTGCCCTTCAGCCCACTGAAGGCAATGTGTCTTCTCCTCAGAGCACATGTGACACTAGATCAATCCCTTCTGGTCATAGGCATTACTCTCAGGTCTCTGCACACATCTCCTTACTATGCCCTTAAATTCCCAAGAATTCCCCTGCTCTCCCCTGCCCTACATATTTGCCATATGTATGCTGATGATTCCCAGAAGCCTTCTCTCCAATTTAGCCCTCTGTCCCTCTCCTCTGATGTTCTGGTGTTCTGCTGTTTGCTGGACTTCAACTAAGACATCCTCAGGAGCTCCTGATGTCTTCCAAAATAACCTACTAACCTTCCTAAAACTGCTCCTCTTTCCTAAGCTCTCTCTTATCTGCTATCATCTTTCTACCAGGCATCTTTATCTCTTCTACTTCCTAACCCCAAATTCAATCAAACCAAATTATTTAAATTCATCCTCTTCTCTTTTCCTGTAATCCCTTCAGAGTCTCATCCTCTTCATGGGAACAAATTCCTTAACTGTTCTTAGAACTTCCACCTTGCCTCCCACTAATTCATCTTCCTCTCAGCAGAGTAATCTGTTAGCAACATGAGTATGCTCACATCCCTGTTACAAACCCTGAAGCATTTCAAATAGTCTTCAGGAAAAAGACTTAAGTCCTTAAAAAGACAAAAATAGCTCTTTACCATCCAGAGGCCCCTCTAGCTTTTTCTCACAGCTCACTACAACTTCTGTCTCCCAGGTTCAAGCAGTTCTCCTGCCGCAGCCTCTCGAGTAGCTGGGATTATAAGTGCCTGCCACCACACTTGATTTTTAGTAGACACGGGGTTTCATCATGTTGGTCAGGCTGGTCTCAAACTTCTTACCTCAGGTGATCCACTCACCTTGGCCTCCCAAAGTGCTGGGATTACAAGCATAAGCCACTGCTTTGAGACTCTAAGCCTTCATTCATGGTGTCTCCTAGTCTGGGGTACCCTTCTGCCTATTCCCATGTGGTATAACTAACTCCTACGCCTCCTTGAAGACTCAGCACAGGTAAATCTTCTCTCAGATGTCATTCCTGACATATTTCAATAATTGAACTTTACATATATCATTATAAATAAGCTTTTGTCTCCCTCTTTCTTAGATTATAAGGCTCTCGGAGGAATGGGACAGTGGCCCATTCATCTTACTATCTTTCAGCACATTGTGCTGCATGTGGTAACTGCGTAATACATTTCTGGTTTTTTAAATAACTGAATTTTTATATAGAAAATGTTCTTAAGCATTAAAATAAAAACTGCAAGAGTGAATGTCTAGAATCAAATTAGTCAAATTCTTAGTATCTACCTAGATTATTCTGTACTTAATATGTGACAACCTGAAAAAACTTCTTCCCCTCCAAGATATTCAAATGCAATTCTATAGTATCTCATATTACACCCTGAATGTGAGTCGGAGCAAGTCACTCAGAATAACTGAGGGAAGCTGTTCTCTCATAAGGTTCTGAGGGTGAAAATATGGGGTGGACAAGCACAAATGGCAGGAAAGGAACTTAATAAGCATCCTGTGTGTAAAACCTAATGATTTGGTCATCTGAAAATCCCATCAACTCATATACTCTTTTAAAATGCAATTGTGAAATGGGAAGTGGAGAATCGCAGAAATGTTACAGGAGTGGAAACTGACATGCCATGCTGATAAAATAAAACAAGCAAGCATACAAAAACCTAATTGTGAGAGAAGTAATAAATCTTTAGCCATGCTATCATATTAAATTGTCAGGATTTGATATACATATGTGGTCCTTGAAACAGAAGCACAGCTCATTATTATGAATGTGATTTAAAGTAGCACTGTGTTCACTGGAAAAGTACTGTGCAAATATTTCGTTCCCTAACCCATCAGTAACTAAGAAAACATTTTCATAGTCGTATTTTAGAAAAAACATAGTGATAGTATATCTCTTTGTTTAATGCAACGGTGAAATATTTTTACCTTTGCTATAATTGGTCAGTCCTTTTAAATATAAGGTCAGTCCTTATAAATAAGTTTAAGTCAATACTTATTCATTGTAAAAAAAAAAAGAACAGAATTAAGCAAAAATAAAATAAAATCATAGAGATAACCAATATACCTTGGTATACTTCCCATTCAGACATTTTTCTATAAATACTTACAACAAATAAGGAATAATAATGTAATACTGCACTCTACTTCTCACTTAACAATGCATCATATTTCTATAGCATTAGATATTCTTTTTCAACATTTAAAAGGCTGCATAGTAAAGCATTATATGGTTGTACAAAGCTATACCTTACCCTACATCTAAGTTGATCCTAATTCTTCTTTATTATGAACGATGATGTGCAAGGAATCTTTCCGGGGTAATGAAAATGTTTTGTATCTTAACAGAGTCACAGTAAATAGCTTTCAAAACTAATCAAACTCTATACTTAAGATCTGTGCATTTCAGATACATTAATCATAGCTCATTTTTTAAAACAGGAAAAAAATGCTGTGAGGAACATCTCATAATTAAATCTTTTGCCAATTAAGACCATTTCCTCAGAATAAACTTTTAAAAACGGATACTGCTAGATCAAAAGAGATATGTATATGTGTACGTGTGTGTGTGTTTTAAAAATATTTAATATTGATTTGTTCATTCAAAATTATTGGCTAAGTTAACACTTCAGCCAAGACATTGCCAAACTGCCTTCTAGATTTCTTTGTTTTTTTCTACTGCCTCTATAATTGCAGAAACTAGCAGATTTCTTAATCTGTATCAATATTAGATTTCAAAATTTGTAAAAATGTTTTACCTTTCACCAGATTTTTAAAAGTGGCACCTATTATTTTAATCTGTGCTTTTTAAAAAAATTCTGAATGACAGTAAAATGTTTCTCCAAATGTTTATTGATCACTTGTATTCCTTCCAACCTCGATGATCTCTACTTCTTTCCCATTGAATCCTTGGTTCCCTTTCCCCCCGTTGGTATTCACTGTTCGCATACTGATTAGAAAAAGTCGTGTTAAATATTAATGATATTAACCAGTTTTCACATGTTCCAAAAACCTCTTCAAACTTTTTCTATCCTTCTTTCTAAAATTCTGCTCATAGATTTTTTTAATAGAGTCTTTACATTTCTACATATTATAGACCAATCTGTCACTTTTCATCTTTATAGTTTTTGTCTTGGGCATCATACTTTAAAACACCCTTCCCTATCCCCTAGATCATCTAAATATTCATTATATATATTCTCTGACATCCCATTTTCAGTGATCATGGGGTTCATGCCCATAGCTGCCCGGAGCATTGCTATGCACAGGAGGTTCCTACCTTAGTGAGCAATCCCTTCACAGTGGGTTTGCCCTCAGGCTTCAGGGAAAGTGGGTTGGCAGCTTGTACTCGAAGAACATCATGGGGTTTATGCCCATAGTTGCCTAGGACATTGCTATGCACAAGAGGTTCCTACCTTAGTGAGCAATCCCTTCACAGTGGGTTTGCCCTCAGGCTGCAGAAAAAGTGGGTTGGCAGCTTGTACTCGAAGAACATTTTGTAACACTTTAATCCATTCTTCTAATATATTAGGAGAATCTGCAGTCAGATAGTATGTGTGTTTTTCAGTGGTCAACTAGAATGCAACCAGAAAGGCATAGGAAAGAAAATCGTGAAGATTTAGGATTGCATTTCCTTGTTCATTATTCAAACATCATTACTTAACATGGAAGCAAACATGCTAAACCTCCAGTCCCAGGTTCTAAATAAATGACTATGTATCATTTAGAATATTTTAACCACTTTGTGAGAATCACAGCAATTAAATTTTAGTTGAAATAATTTTGTTACTTCAGTTTACTTTAACACTTTTCATAGTATTCGATTTTGGGGTTATGGCTTTGTATCTTGTTTATTTGTCACATTTTCCTTTTCTCTGTTAAATGTGCTACAGATTCCTACTTATTGAAATGAGAAGTAGAATGATTCAAGAGATTTTTGGTTTTTGTTGGTGGTGTTGTTGTTTGTTTGTCTATTTTTTTTGAGACAGAGTTTCGCTCTTGTTGCCCAGGCTGGAGTGCAATGGTGCAATATCGGCCCACTGCAACCTCTGCCTCCTAGGTTCAAGCGATTCTCCTGCCTCAGCCTCCTGAGTAGCTGGGATTACAGGCATGCACCACAATGCCCTGCTAATTTTTTGTATCTTTAGTAGAGATGGGGTTTCTCCATGTTTGTCAGGCTGGTCTCAAACTCCCAACCTCAGGTGATCTGTCCGCCTTGGCCTCCCAAAGTGCTGGATTACAGGCCTGAGCCACTGCAGCCGGCCCAGAAGAGGTTTTTTAATTCAAATGAAGAAATCTATTATAAATAAAATGAGAAGATCTTGCATATAAGGAGAGAAATTCTTGGAACAAGCATATGATTAGATATTATTAACTCACAATTTTCCAGTCTCGAATTAGCCACATTGCAAATTTTCCAAATATTTCAGAAGCTTACAAATGATTCTTAACTGCCATGCCCAAAGACAAAGCTTTCCTTGATTCTCCTTTCTAAATTTTTTAGGGGTTTTCAGGTATAATTTACTGGAAACATCGATAATGTACCTTTCTGGCAAAGCTGTCTTCCACCCTCCAAAGAAGCAATATGGAAAAACAATGGTTATTGAAAACATTTCAGAAATAAAGTGTCTGAATTTAAATTACATATACTAGAATATCTCAACAGCCTGTGTTTTAAAGTTAACAGATTTCTGGCAATACTAGCCTTCTGTGTGAATAAAATGGGCAGCAGCTACCTCTACAGGGTGACTTGCTTGGCAGCACAGTCCCTTTGCTCACCAATATATTTCCCACTTAGATGTTATGGCATCTGAAGTTCATACAAGAACTGTAATTTTCAGTGAGTGATGGAAGGGCTGGATGCCTTCGATGACCTGATGCAGCACACCCACGTCCAGCCCTGGTACCTGCGGGTGGAGAGGGCCACCAGCGAGGCCTCCCCAGCACACTCAATATCTCCGCACAGAGCAGGGGGAAGGCAGCAGAAGATGCCAGCTGCCAAGGCTGGGCCACTGGGCCAACGCCTGGCAATGCTTGTGGGGGCAGGATCATTCTGGTTCTTGCCACCCACCCCTGACAGCCTTCTCACTTGTACCACTGGGTACCTGCTGGGGCCCAGGGATGCTGGGGAGGAGTTCCAGCCCTGCCTTTGCCCTGGGGCAACCCCTCCCTGTCCCAGCCTCCCTGCACTGCCACCCCTCTCCCAGGGCCCTCAGTGGCTGTCCTGTAGCTACATCCTGTGAATGGAGGACCCTCAACCAGACAGGAGGACAGTTCGTTTTCGGTAGAATCCCACCCTTGGGTTCCCTTAGTTCCTGCTCTTCTCAAGCCTCCCAGGACTGGGACATGCTTGCACTAAAGGAAAGGTTGTGGTGCCCGATGTGGCAGGCATCTCACGGGAAAGAAAAAAAAAAAAGAACTGTCATTTTCAGATTCTATATTTAAATACAAACATTCCTGAATTTCATAGTACATTATATAACTAATGTCTTCTTTGGAATTCATTTACCAGATAACCCTTCCTTAAAATAGCTTCACAGTCTGACAGCTGAGAATACCTGGGAGAATAAATATGGGGAAAGAAGAATATAAAGGAAGAAAGGTGAAGAAAGTGTAGGGGAGTTACCCAACACAAATCTAACTTATATTATAGTTTTAACCAAAAATTCTTGGACTTTCACATACTTTCAAGGCATCAAACTAACCCCAAAGTGAATAAAGAAACACTGAATTATCCAATCTCCTTTCCATTAGGTGGATAATTGAGAATTGAGTTTAGCATGATAGGAATTAAAAAAAAAAAAAAAAAGAGGAAAACAAAGTTAAGTACCTGAACTGTTTGTTTGTTATCTCCTCTTAAAATACTACAGGATGCACTAAGCTCGATATGGCCCTGGGGTTTTCTAATTACATCGCTCTGTATGAAAGGAAGAAAAACAAACGTAAAGTGATTAACTTTAACAGTAACCACCATAAGAAATTATTTGTATCATTATTTGCATTATGAGAAGAAAATGAATCAGGCATCCGATTTATAGTTTGAGGAATTATGTTCTAAACAGCAAACATTTTCCACTCACCGGAGATTTGTAGTAGAGTAATTCACCACCTTTAAGAACAAACCACCGCCGCTTCCATGACTTGACTTTACCACTCATTTTTAATAAATAACCAGATTTTTCCAGTGGTTCCTAATTTTTAAAAGATCCAAAAAAAAACTATTTTCAGTTTCCTTTTGTAGGCTCAAACGGATTGACTCATTAATTTTTAAAAATCAGATTCAATATTTACATTTTTTCCATTATCACTGGAAGATGAGCAAGTTTTTGGGAGTTTCTGCTCTGGCTGCGAGTACTCTGTGTCTGTGGAGTAAGCGTCAGGAGGAATAGCATAATCACTTTCCGAAGCCACAGAGGAGAGGGACACACCTAAGAGAACAAAGAAAGACATCAAGTCAGTATTTGATACTGGGGAGGGCTCAACACTGGCTCTGAGCGCTCCTACAGAATGCAATTATTCCTGAATCATAAGCTTCCCTAGACAAGATTTATTCTTATTCCTTTGGCTATGAATAACTTTTAAAGCAGAAAACAGAACTAAGGGGTAGAAACTGTCATGTAAATATCTAAGTAAGTGAAAGGAACAGGAATCATATTTTGGTATGATTACAATCACACAGCTATTTTACATATATAAAATATATGCAAGAGTCTACTCATGTATCTTTTATTAAGAATTAAAATATGTGTATTTACACATTGATATATAGGCAAATGTTGAACCTGAATTTATCGAGATTTTTGCAATCACATTTTAAATTAATTTCTGTAATCACTTTTAAAGTAACTTCATGCTTTTAAAAAACACAATTTCAGGCTGCCTGTGGTGGCTCATGCCTGTAATCCCAGCACTTTGGGAGGCAAAGGCGGGCAAATCACTAGGTCAGGAGTTTGAGACCAGGCTGGACAACATGATGAAACCCTATCTCTACCAAAAATACAAAAAAAAAAAATTAGCTGGGCATGGTGGCAGGCACCTGTAATCCCTGCTACTTGGGAGGCTGACGCAGGAGAATCTCTTGAACCCAGGAGGCAGAGATTGCAGTGAGCCAAGATCACACCACTGCACTCCAGCCCAGACGACAGTGTGAAGCTCCATCTCTACTAAGCAGTTTACAGATTTTTAAAATCTTTCATAAAAGAGAAGGAATAAGATTGAAAGATATAAACAAACTATTTCACTTACCAGTAGCCATAACATAAAATTCAATGGAACATTTATACAATAATTCAATTGCTTTTATAGAAACTACTCAGGAGTTGCAAGCCACATTTGGTGGGTCACTACAATTGAATATGAGATTTTGAATATATTAAATAAAATCAAGGACTTAGGTAATTATAAAAGTATTCAGCAATTTAAAAAAATGTGTATTAACATTTAAGGGGCATATTAGAACAATGCCACTCTTGTGACACTACTTTTTATGTGACTCAGACAAGTAACAGTTGCTATATCTTTATTTTTCATAGAATAAACAAAAATCTAGACCTATAGGGACCTCAGAGATTGTCATGGCTAATGTCCTAAGGAGACTAAGGCCCAGAGATTAAAGGATTTTTCCAAAGTCAAAGAGTTAGGCAGGGGCAATGTTGCAATGCAAATCTCAGGCTTCCAGGATCAGGGTCAGTGTGCCAGGCACTGTCGTAGATGCTAGGGATAGAGAAAATGACCAAAAATATTGGCTCTCATGGAACAGATTGCAGTGGAAGGAGACCAATGATGATAAACAGGCAGTAGGTGCTATAGAACAATAAAACAATAAAACATAGAGCAGCCTAAAGGCAATCAAAAGAGCTGGCAACAGAAGAAAGACAAAGGGCTGCAAGTTGAGTGGTGTGGTCAGGGTGGACCTCATTGAGAAGGCAGTATTTGCTGATGGAGGTGAGGGAGTCAGTTATACAGACATCCAGAGGAAGAATACCAGCTGGAGGAGACACCAGCGCCAAGGTCCCGAAATACAAGCATGCCTGGCATGTTCTCAGAACAGCAAGAGGGCCAGTGAGGCTGGAGCTGAGTACAGAGAAGAAAGGAGATGAGGTCAAGGACGTGACCAAGTCCTGTAACACCTTATAGCCACTGTGAGGAGGCACTGCAGTGTTTTGAGCAAAAGTGTGTCATAACCTGGGACAAGGTGAGAGCAAGAAGACCAGTGAAAGCTGAAAATATGAAACTGATTAAGGCTGAGCAGCTCCAGTTGACGCCGAGGGGTTTGAAAGTACCCAGCTATTTTACATATATAAAATATATGCAATAGTCCTCATGTATCTTTTATTAAGAATTAAAATATGTGTATTTATACATTGATAAATAGGCAAACAAATGTTGAACCTTAATTCATCGAGATTTTCATAATCACATTTTAAATTAATTTCTGTAATCACTTTTAAATTAATTTCTGTAATCCAGAGGTTCCATGGAACACAGTTGGAAAACCCACAGGCACACCCTGCTGCATTAAGGGCTTTTATAAAATACAGATGCCATTTAGTGCAATTAGATCTCTCTGTAACCACTACCTACACACAGAATTTCTTTAAAATCCACTAAAAATCATAGACATATCCCAAATAAAGCTTTGGTTGTTCTCTAACATCAGATTAATTGACAAATTTTAAGGTATATTTTCTGCCAGTTAGCAGTGTAACGAATTTAGATGAAATAAGTCTATTTTACAAACTATCCAAAATGCCAAGAGAGAAGCCTCATTTTGGCCAATTTTCTTACTTTATTCCAACAATCAGGTGATCTCCCTCTCACAGAAAATATAAGGCTAAGAAAAAGACTGTATAATTTGTTGGAAATCACAGAGAATTAAGAAGAGAATTAGGACTAGAGTATAAATGTATCAGTCATAGGCTAAAGTTCTCTTCACTAGGGTCTGAAGCAAGTTCTTTGATTTAAAAAATATCCTATTATAGAGATAAAATTCCCAATTAATATTCAGAATGACCTGGAGTTGCCTCATATGCCTGCAATCTTCCCTCACCTCGTTTCATGGCTCTGGGGCTGCCTGGCCCACTCCTACTGTGTGAGTCTGACTCTGACGTCCGGGAGCTGGATCTGGAGCTGTCTTCTTCCTCTGACCCAGATGAGTCATCCAGGAAAGGGCTGCTACTTATTTGGGTCGCCTTCTAAAGAAAAGCAGAACCACTTCCTTGTATCCATCCCTAATGTTACCACTCATCCAGGAAAGGGCTGTTAGTTACTAGGGTCGCCTCCTAAAGAAAAGCAGAGCAACCTCCCCTATCCATCCCTAAGGTTATCACTTCCTTTAGATAACAGAAAGTTTAACAGGAAGAAGTCATAGCATATGATTTTTTTTTTTTTTTTGGAGACAGAGTCTTGCTCTTGTGGCCCAAGCTGGAGTGCAATGGCATGATCTTGGTTCACTGCAACCTCCGCCTCTTGGGTTCAAGCGATTCTCCTGTCTCAGCCTCCCGAGTCACTGGGATTACAGGCCCTTGCCACCATGCCCAGCTAATTTTTGTATTTTTAGTAGAGATGGGGTTTCACCACGTTGGTCAGGCTGGTCTTGAACTCCCAACCTTGTGATCTGCCCACCTCAGCCTTCCAAAGTGCTGGGATTACAGATGTGAGCCACCATGACCGGCCAGCGTATCATTTTTAAAAGGAATTCAGGAATGTATTTTGCTGTTATCAAAATCACATTAAACCTCAAATTCTAATTAGCAATTATAAGATTCCTGAAAATATAAGGTTGTCAACACTTGACAATGCTTCTTTTAACTAATACTTCAAGTAAGGAAGGGGTGCCCTGGCACTGATACAAAGACCTGCCTAAATTAGGAATTTTCATTACATTATTCATAGTATGTCTCCTCACAATTCATGGCCATGGGAAGGTGGAGGAATCACATGGGACACTGTAAAAACTGGCTCAGACCTCTAATATTCTGATAAAAAGAAGTGTCTTCTCTAGACCTTTCCATTGCTTCTTTTTTATGATATGTTAATGTGAACTTGTAAAACTCTCCTTAAAGGGAGAGCCTATGTAAAATGTTAAAAATGGAATCTGGAGCTGAATTAACAATTTCCTTCATCCATCATGAAGAGAAGCACATGTTTTAACATTAACAATAATGAGTTACCCCCTTCAAAGTTGTATACACTGGGGTGGTCATGTTCTTGTATATCAGAGATGTGTAAAGTCCTGATGTGGTATAGGAAAGGGTTACAACAGAATCTGAAACAGAAAAATAGGAAACAACATTTAAAAAAATCTCCTAATTAGCACATTGGTCTTTTTCTTATGATTATAAATTAGCATGATTTCCATTTAAATAGAAATTGGATTAATACATGATTTACCAATTGTATAATCTACTTTGTAAATTATGGCATTTACAGGTTTATTTTTATACTTTTTTACATAGTTCATTATTTCCTCTTGTGTGCTAGTTCCCTAACTAGACTGTAAGCTCTTTGAGAGCAAAAACCATAGCTCTTATTTCCTTGGAATCTCCATGCATACTTTGCTCAGGCTGGGCAGAACTAAGTATAAGCAAGTGCTACCAACGGACTGATTCAGTGAGCAGTACATAGGAAGATATTCTTTGACTATTCATCACCCTATTACCAGCATGGGGCCAAAACCACTGTTGGCAGAGCATGGTGGCTCACGCCTGTAATCCCAGCACTTTAGGAGGCTGGAGTGGTGGATCGCTTGAGCCCAGGAGTTTGAGACCAACCTGAGCAACATGACAAAACGCCATCTCTACTAAAAAGACAAAAATAAGCCAAACATGGTGGCATACGTCTGTAATCTCAGTTACCTGGGAGGCTGAGGCAACAGAATTGCTTGAATCTGGGAAGCAGAGGTTGCAGTGAGTCAAGATCGCACAGCTACACTCCAGCCTGGGCGACAGAGTGAGACTTGGTCTCAAACAAAAACAAAAACCACTGTTCTTAAGCCTTTATCAGGTGAATCTGATGTTGAAATATTGGAGTATAACTTCCTGGCTGAGTGTGGTAGCTCACACCTTAACAGCACCTTGAGAGGCTGAGGCAGAAGGATCACTTAAGGCCAGGAGTTTGAGACCAGGCTGGGCAACATAGTGAGACCACACCTCCACAGAAAACCTTAAAAATTATCAAGGCATGGTGGCATGCACCTGTAGTCCCAGCTAATTTGGAAAGTGAGGCAGGAGGACCACTTGAGCCCAGGAGTTTGAGGCTATAGTGAGCTATGATCATGCCACCACTACACACCAACCTGAAAGAGAGAGTAAGACCCTGCCTCAAAAAAGAAAAAATATATATATATATAATTTCCAGAATGGAAAGAATTGCAGATAGCTAAACAGGAATTGAATATCAATAGTTACCTCTAACATATGAATTAATGGTGGGATAGGGAGGAGGTGGTAGAAAAAAACACAGGAAAATTTCTTTTTATTCCAGACAGTTCTCTGTTGCTTGATTTTATTTTTTATAATGAGCATGCATTGTGTCTACATTAATTTTTTGGAAGAAATAAAGAAAGGGGAAATGCATTTTAAATCCTGGGGGGAAAGGACATAGAGGCCTATATTTTTACCATTTTAAACAGCTGAAATGCCACAGTTTCTCTGATTTAGTCTCTCTCAGGTAAAAAAAAATATACATACACACACACATATATATATATCAGAGTTGAGTGTATTAGAGTCCCTACACTAAGATGAATTTCAATTTTAAAATGTAAATCAGCAACCCTAGAAATCATTTTTTGAAAGTTTACACAACTCTTTCTTCCAATGAATTTATAAATTTAGGAAATTCTTAGTGAATGAAATAGGAATACAAATCAGTTTTCTAAACTTGTTTTTTATTGTGGTAGCCTAAAATTCACCATCTTAATCATTTTTAAGTGTACAGTTCAGTAATGTTACGTGTATTCACACCATTGTAAAACAGATGTCTAGAAATTTTTCATTTTGCAAATCTGAAACACTATACTCAGTAAACAATAAATTCCCTTCTCCACGCATACCCAGCCCCTGGTAACCATCATTCTGCTTTCTGTTCCTATGAATTTGACTCTTTAAGTACTTCTTTAGGTGGAATCATACAGTATTTGTTTTTTTGTGGCTGTACCATGTATTTGTTTTATGTTATCCCTTAGCAGAAAGTCCTCAAGTTTCATCCTGGTGGCGGCATGCAAAAGCACTTACTTTTATTAACATTCTCCATATTGAAGGCCTCAGACATTCGAATACCTGATTTGGCTACAGCATAAATTCTGCTTTCCTAGGGTAAAAGAAAGAGTTTGAACAGGGTATTTAAAGCAAAAAAAAAAAAAAAAAAAAAGATTACTTTTAGTACATGTTTTTCATTTGTTCTTCATTTAAGATTCACTAGAATACAGCATTATTATAGGTGGCATCATCAGTGCCAACTAAGATATGTCATTGTGAATAGTACTGAAGAGATTTTTCTCCATCTGCTAGTTATTCCATTACTTATTGTTTGCCCATATTTTTGTTTCATATTTTATAAATTCTTTTGAAGATGTGAAGAAAAAGTAAGGTAAAGCTTATTCACAGTTACTGACTACACAAAAATACCACCTTTCATATTCTTATTATTCTAGAACATGGTGGTGGAGGGTAAAACCATGAATGGCTATAACATTAAGCTAGAAACCATTTGCAATCACTGATTACACATAAACACAACTCTTAATATTCTACTATTCTGGAACATGGTTACACAAAGAAAGGAAAAAACCTGAAGTCGGAAATCATAGATAGAGTAGCATTAAATGCTATCGCCTTCCTATGTCAATGTACATTTCACTCAAGTAGAATAGACACCTAAAGTCAAACAAGAAATAAATATGAGAATTGCAATGGAATTTATATTATCTTGTTCCAAAAGTAGATTATTTTTTCCTCTGAGAAATCTCTAAAACAGGTATTGGACAGGCTACTAGCTCTGCCCCCTTGAGAAAATGGACCACAGGTAGTTCCTAATGCATACAGCAACATGTCCTGAATTTTGCAATGAGTTTAACTTGGACACAGCTGACTGTCCAGGACATAGTGGGCAACTAAGGCCATTCTCTTCAGGACAGCCAGTGGCCCCTGAGATCTGGCATGAGATCTCTGACTATCAGGGATATTTTAGATTGAAAAGTGGTTGGCTGAATGAATCAAATGAAGTTTCTTTGAGCGTGAGATACACACAGAGACAAACAGCAGAGTGGGCAGAACAGAACGACATATAACAATAAGGCATAATCAGGAGATAGGAGGCAGTCAGAAGCCCTAGGAGAGTAGGGGAAAGTATTTAATAGTATAATTAGGGGACGGGAGGCCTGAGAAGACAAGCTGAGCTACTGGAGCAGGGGCAATGGATGTCACTCGTTTCTATCAGAGATACTGCTGACTCATCACATGTAGTACCACTAGAGTGACTATTGTAATTTGCAGGATATGCCAGTTCAATAAGGATAGACTATGCCTTAAAATAAACTCTTAGATATCCTTAAAATAAACTCACATTTATTGAGGTAACTAGAATACATCTCTTTTCCTTGAAACCTGAAAATACCTAACAAACACAGAAATAAAATCTCAGAGTTGGCCAGTCTGCTGGGAGGCTTTTGAAAAGCAATGCTGCTTTTTCAGGACTGAATAGCTTCAGAAGAGTAAGAAAAGACAGAATGCTCCCCTGCCTCCGCCCCCGCTACAAAAAAAGGTAGTAGAATGGGTTGCCAAATAAAATAAACTTAAAAGCCTAACCTAAATATCTAAAAATCACAATAGGCAAGATTTCAATTTCTTGCTGCCTAAAGTATAACATAATTGGAATTCCAAAGATTCACATGCCATTAACTTTCACTTTCTTGTGCTATCCAAAATTTAGTAATAAATACAGAAGGTTTCCTGTGTATATTGAAATGAAAGGTTTTCTTGAAAGCAAATAAGAGCACATACATCTTAAGGTCTGAATATACTAGAAAAACATGTCCACCCTCATTTGCTTAAAACTGCATCAGTCACAAAATAAAAAATATAATAATAAAAGAACATGACTCCAAACCAAATAAATCCTGCAACCCAGATGTTTCTCTGGAGGCCACAGGTTAAATTACGCCAGTATGTGAAGAAAATCTTAAATCTATAAAAGATCATTTCAGGCCAGGTGCGGTAACTCACATCTGTAATCCCAGCACTTTGGGAGGCTGAGGCGGAGGGGGGCGGATCACCTGAGGTCAGGAGTTCAAGACCAGCCTGGCCGACATGGTGAAACCCAGTCTCTACTAAAAATACAAAAAATTAGCTGGTTATGGTGGCGAATGCCTGTAGTTCCAGCTATTCAGGAGGCTAAGACAGGAAAATCCCTTAAACTCAGGAGGCAGAGGTTGCAGTGAGCCAAGATTTTGCCACTGCACTCCAGCCTGGGAGACAAGAGTAAAACTCCATCTCAAAAAAAAAAAAAAAAAATTAAAATGAAACAGATCATTTCATTTTATTTCAAATATAGGAAAATTTTTTTTTTAGTTTAGCAATGTAGATATTCCTTAGAAGAATCACATAATTGATGGGCTAATTATCCTACTAATGGTCAATGTTTCAGTGGAAGAAGATTCAACCTATTCTAGGTCTGTAGAAAGATGCTTTGGTGAAACCAATGGCTATATAAGCTCACAAAGAAAATTAAATTCATCTTAAAGCCAATCAAATACATGACTAAGTTCAAAAACTTATGACTAACAAGAGTTAAGTGTCCTGGTTCAGAATTCACCCAAAATATCACAGTTAGGGGGAACCCTTCTTTTCTACCCCCAGTGTTTCCTTCCACATGGAGGAAACTCCAGTAATTGAATGCTGCTGATCCTTCTCCACCTATTCACTTTCTTCTCCCCAAGAAGAAGAGTGGCTTAATGTGACTGATGAGCTGAGAAGGAGAAACTGGGCATGCAGTGCCTGCCAGCTTCCTCTCCCCTTTCTCTTGAGAAGTAGCTGCCTGCAGGAAACAAGCATCTGTTCTGTTTTTCTAGGTGGTAAGTTTTAGAGGGGCAGGCTTCACTGGCAGAATCCTGTGGTGGTCCAGGGCTTCCTGGTTCTGGGTGAATCAATCCAGCTAATCTTGAAGTTCAGTATTAGAAAGCTCATATGCCCACTAATTCTCTAAAATTAGTTGTATCAGTAAATAAGGTAATATTTTGATTTCCCATCTGTCTTGTTATTATCTTATTTTTCAATTGATTCAGAACTCAGTGAGGGAAGAGAAGAAATTATATTCTGAAAACTGAAAAATGTCAGAACAAAGCTGGATTTGAAAAGAAAAAGTAAAATTTGAAAATGAGGGTGGACACTTTGGGAGGCTGAGGCAGACATATCACTTGAGGTCAGGAGTTCAAGACTGACCTAGCCAACATGGTGAAACCCCATCTCTACTAAAAAAATAAAAATTAGCCAGGCATGGTAATGCATGCCTGTAGTCCCAGCTACTCAGGAGGCTGAGGCAGGAGAATCACTTGAACCCAGAAGGTATAGGTTGCAGTGAGCCAAGATGGTGCCACTGCACTCCAGCTTGGGTGACAGAGTGAGACTCCCTCTCAAAAAAAAAAAAAAAAAGAAAAGAAAATGAGTGTTGAGAAAAAACTACTGTTTATGTGTTATGTGCGGCAAAATAATTACCCAAGAAGGAAAACGGTGCAGGGGAGGAGTTGGAGGTTTGCTGCACCCCGCCTTCTTTGCTGAGTCACAGTTTTCCTGATCATCTGAATTTGGAGCGTCCAAGGAGTCAAAGGAAAATAATCCATCATCACAACTTGTGTCTATATTCTCTAAGATTTCTGTACTGTCACCATCAACTAGATCAAGATCAGTTTCTTGAGGTCTCAGTGGTCGTATCATGCTTATAGCATTTCTATTTGTACCAAACATCCTGTCGGAGCTTAACTGTGGCTGGCTTAAATGTCTTTTGGCTAGTGCTACGCTTATACTGAAAACATTAGGAATCCTTAACTTTGGGGGTGGCAGGTGTGATGAAGGCACTAATTGTGTTCCTTTTCCAGAAAATGAGTTAGGATGCTTTGGCATTAAAGCTGGGGTCAAAATAGGGCTTGGGGTGTTGGCCTCACTCGATGAAGATGAATAATCGAGTCTCTGAGATTGAAATTTTTTGTTCAGTTCATCCGAGGAACTGTCTTGCTCCTTTTTACTTGATCCAGAATTTCCCTTTCCGAGAAGGCTATTCTGAGCTTTCCACTGTGCTTCCTGCTGCCAAGAATATAGCTTCTTATGTTCTGGTCTCTTTATGCCAAAAGTCTCTTCCTCAAATATAGAGCTGCTGTCATCAGATGCTGTCAGATACGTTTCACTCCCCATCCTGCTACGCTGGACCCCTTCCTCAGATGTGTGACTGGAGAGGGTGGATGTACATCTGGACTTGGATCTTCCTTTGCTCCCTTCTTCCTCATCAGAACTCCAGTCACTGACTCGAGCCCCAGAATTCTGGGAGATGCCACCATCTGTAGCAAAGCTTGTTCTTGTTTTCCGATTCTGTTCTGAGCCACAGGGGGTTTGATGCAATGTTCTCTGGCCTCTGTTGTTTTCTAGAACTTGGTTATCAATGGACTTTTCTGGAATTTCCATTTCTAGAAAAGGATACATCATATCAGCATGCTGCCTTTAATAATATGATCTTTCTGTACATTTATCTTTATGTAACTACACTGTAGAAATTGACATTGTAGAAATCAGCTGGGTGCAGTGGCGTGCACCTGTAGTCCCAGCTACTTGGGAGGCTGAGGCAGGAGGACTGCTTGAGCCCAGGAGCTCAAGACTGCAGTGAGCTATGATCACGACACTGCAATTCCAGCCTGGGTGACAGAGCAAGACTCTGCCTCTATTTTTTTTTAAAGGAATAAACCAGAAATTTAAATAAAATTAATTTATATTACCTTGCTAGTCTTATGTCGTTTTTAAACACAATTTTGAAAACTATAAGCTTTATATAAAACTCAGAGCCCTAACATATCAATATAATAATTTCCAAATTGCTTTTTACAAAAAACATGTTGGGAAAAAAAACTGAGTTTAAAGAGAGATAATAAAAGAAGCAAAATGTGAAACAGGGCAACTCTGACTATCAAACAAAGCAATTACCAAAAAAAAAAGAAAGGCATTAATTATATTTTAGAAGCAAGGAAAATGACACCTTCTTTCAACTAAATATTTAAATTATCATAAAGTAAATTTAAGCATAATAAATACAAAGCTATAGTTTAAGAAACAAACTTTGCACCAAACCTCGATACATTGAGATATGCAAAATCATTAAGAAAATAGAAACACGGGCCGGGCGCGGTGGCTCATGCCTGTAATCCCAGCACTTTGGGAGGCTGAGGCGGGCAGATCACGAGGTCAAGAGATCGAGACCATCCTCGCCATGATGAAACCCCGTCTCTACTAAAAATACAAAAATTAGCCGGCTGTGGTGGCAAACGCCTGTAGTCCCAGCTACTCGGGAGGCTGAGGCGGAAGAATCGCTTGAACCCAGGAGGCAGAGGTTGCAGTGAGCCAAGATTGCACCACTGCACTCCAGCCTGGTGACAGAGCAAGGCTCTGTCTTAAAAAAAAAAAAAAAGAAAATATAAACACAGAAAAGCTTTCCTTGCTTTACTTTTGGTTTAATCAAAACTACAAAGTGTGTTTTTAAAATAAGAATAACACTCTTTAAAAATATATTTAGATATGGTTTATTTTTATGTATAACATAATTAACAGAATGAACCATTGGCTTCATAAACCAGGAATGAAACTTTTACACTGAAGTGTAGAAAAAAAAGCTTTGAAAACATAAAAACATAGATAGGACCTTCATAATTAAGGAACTAGAGGCTGAATAAACAAACTCTAAAATTTGGTATTAGTCAGTTTGTTAAATTTGCAAATGAGCAACAGCATCAGTATAGGCAACCTCAGCTGTACTCGACTGTTAAAAAAAGGGAAGGAAATGAAAATGGCTTCTTAAAAGGGGGAAAAAAGTGCAAGTAGGTCGGGTGCAGCGACCTTCACACCTGTAACTCTCAGCACTTTGAGAGACCAAAGCTGATGGATTGTTTGAGCCCAGGAGTTCAAGGCCAGCCTAGGCAACACAGTGAAACCCCATCTCTACAAAAAATACAAAAATTAACTGGGCATGGTGGCATATGTCTGTAGTCCCAGCTACTAGGGATGCTGAGGTGGGAGGATCACTTGAGGCCGGGAGGTCAAGGCTGCAGTGAGCTGTGATTGTGACACTGAACTCCAGCCTGGCATACAGAGTGAGATGTAAGACAAGCCAAAAGACAAGACAAGACAAGAGAAGACACAAGACAAGACAAGACAAGACACGACACGACACGACACGACACGACCAAGCCCAAGCCCAAGACCAAGACAGACAGACAGACAGACAGACAGACAGACAGACAGACAGACAGATAGATAGATAGATAGATAGATAGATGGATAGAAGATAGATGGGAAGGGAAGAGAAGAAGGGAGGGGAAGGGGAAGGGAAGTGGAAGGGAATGGGAAGGGGAAAGGAAGAAAGAAAGGGAGGAAGGAAAGGGAGGAAAGAAAGGGAAAATGGAAAGGAAGGAAGGAAGGAAGGAAGAGAGCGAGGAGGAAGGGAAAAGAAAAGCAAGTAATGGCATGAAAGCAAGGTGCAAAGGAGCCTTCTGATTGGAAAATATATCATTTTCAGAATTTCATAACCAAGGATACACAATTTTTACTGTTATACTTTTTCTCCTCTGGGGGTAGGAAGTTGGAGCTGAAAGTAGAGAGGATGAAAACTCAGGCCTCTCTGAAATATCTGGGGAAAGTCCACAAAAGAGATTGCACTAGAGGTGGCAAAGCCAACAGCTGCAAGAAAGCAAAATTCAGACTTTTTTTTTTTTTGATAGAAGCATTTTAAGACTAGAAGAGTAGAAATCTGTATATGGGACTGGATTTAAATATCTAAGAACACATTTTCCTCTTTGAAGCATTAAAGGAAAATCAAAGCAGTTATTAATTTATCCTCTAGGGTTTTTTTCTCTAGAAGTCTGCTATGCCAATGTTTAATTTTATGTGTAATATTAGGTAATGTTTTATATTTTAAATTAATGAATAGGAAATTCAAACTTTTAATCTGAAACTCAGCTAAAACAAGTACAGCATCTTGTAGGTGGGACTATAACTTTTTAATTTTAAATACCCTTCCACCTACAGCAGGAAAAAAATATTAAGAAGAAAAATCAGTTTCTCTTATGCATCATTGGCAAAGGCTCTTTCACCTACAGCAGGAAAAAAATATTAAGAAGAAAAATCAGTTTCTCCTATGCATCACTGGCAAAGGCTCTCAGAAGACACAAAATAATTAGATACACAAAGTTAAATGCTGTCTTGCTCTTTAGAATTCTCATAAAACATCGAATTGTCAGAAAAAATAATAAAAATTAAGCTATATTTGGATTAATCTTAGCAAATAATTTTTCCTTTTTGAAAAATGCCAAAGTCAATTCCTGTAGTCCATAAATACCTTCTATGTCTTTTCCTTCAGTGAACTCAGGTTCTTTTGATGATATCTTGCTCATTTCCTCAGATTTTACTACTTGAGGAGGACTCCTTGCTCGAGACAAAAAGCACCCAAAGGTCAAACTGCTCAGGCGCTGGCCTTCTGAAAGCTTTAGTGCGGAGACAGTGGACGACTTCTTTCCTTGAACTTCTACAGTGTCGTTAATCAAAATTAAGATTTAAATTTTTTATAGAAGTTTGTTAAACAGAACCAAGGCATACAAAAACTTGAACAAATCACTCTTTATGCCAGAAATAAAGCCTAACGGTCATCTTTATTGATGTGCAATAACATGGAACCTTCAATAACAAGCACCATATGCCAATGTTTAAATTCTGTTTTATATATTTTAAATGTTCAAAATGTTTTAACTGGAGAGAGAAAAATATCTAATCCCTTTAAGAGTAGTTAGCTCTAAGCAAAGACAAAAACACAAACGATTATAAATAACTAGAGAGCTCTAGCTTCCTGCAAAGTCAAGTATTGACAAATACCAGTTCAGTGTTGGTAAAATTTGCTCAATGTGCCACTGTGAAGGAAAAGAAACTGAGGTCCCAGTTGCCAAAACAACCAAAGGAAATTTGGATCATCCTTGGGGCAACCATCTCATGATAACTGTAAGGACTTTTGCTTATCTTAGTTTTCAGTAATGAGGAAAAAGCTGATGGGGAGGTTTGGTCAATGGTAACCACAATATAAAGAGCTTCAATCGCTTCTTTAGAGAGAAAAAAAGGAGTGGATAAAGAATTTAGACAGCTAGTGAAGTGAATAGGTCAGCACCTAGTCATGAATTTAATTCATCTCTCTAGGACTTTTTTTTTTTTTTTGAGTCAGGGTCTCACTTTGTTGCCCAGGCTGGAGTACAGTGGCATGATCATGGCTCACTGCAGCACCAAATTCCAGGCTCAAGCGATCCTCCCACCTCACATGTTGAACCAGCCCTCAGACAGCAGAGAGTACAGGTGTGTGCCACCATGGCAAGCTAATTAAAAAAAAAATTTTTTTTAGTGATGGGGTCTCACTATATTGTCCAGGCTGGTCTCAAACACCTGGTCTCAAGCAGTCCGCTCACCTTTGCCTCCCAAAATGCTGGGATTACAGGAGTGAGCCATTGCACCTGGTCCATCTCTAGGACCTTTAGCATTGCTGCTTATAAAATCAAAAGCATGGTGGTCTCAGTAAGAAAAGCTTCCAAGGAAATATAATTCTTAATGCTAGCAGAACACTAAGGGGTTAAGTTAAATAGCAATTGATAACTAAGTATAAGAAAATATTTCATATAGTATATTCCTAATGATGTATCTTAATGTTTCCATGTTGAACGTCTCTTACAGAACAAATTCAATTATATATATATGCATGCACATATAATTTTTACATAATTTTTAACAAAAATTATATACATGTGCACATATATTTTTTAAGTATTATATCTATTCTGCTCCAATCCAAGCTTAATTTCCAAGGATCAATATCTCTTAGTCTACAAGACCTAAGAGGCTGCCAGTGAAGACTAGAATTGCAAGCTAAGAATATTGGAGAAAATAAGAAGCTTTTGAGACTGGGCTTAGTATATCTAAACTATTTCAACAAAGATAATTGTCACAAAGACCTGAAACTTTAATTCAAAATATAGAATTCTAGATCAACAATGGAAGAATCTCTAACATGTGGAGAAAATGATAGCAATTAATATTAACATGCAGTAGACAAAATGTTTTAATATGCCCTATAATCAACAATTTTATACAAAAATGTTTTCATATGTCCTATGATCAATTCTATATAATCCTCCATGAAACCAGTAAGGAACTACTATAATCGTGATTTTACTAATGCAAAAAAAAAAAATTCTGGGCTGGGCATGGTGACTCAAACCTGTAATCCCAGCACTCTGGGAGGCTGAGGAGGGAGGATTGCTTGAGCCCAGGAATTCAAGACCAGTCTAGGCAACATAGCAAGATCCCCATCTCTACAAAATAAAAATTGAAAAATTAGTTGGGTGTGGTAGTGTGCACCCGTAGTTCCAGCTACTCGAGAGGGTGAGGAGGGAGAATCACTTGAGCCCAGGCGGTCTAGGCTGCAGTGAGCTATGCAGCACTCCAGCCTGGGCAACAAAGTGAGACCCTCTCTTAAAAATTTTTTTTTCTGGAGATATAACACAATTATTAAATATTAGAGCAATAAAGTTTACTTCAAAGCCCATGGTTTTCTTACCATGCCAATATTTTTCCCATGTATTCTGTGAAACTCCTGGGCTTTGTGGAAATGTCCCAGAGGGTTCAAGAAGAGGTATGGGTAAGTCCAAGTATGCTGAATGCTAAACCCATCATGCAACACTGCTTTTACCTATCTTATCTATTGAGATTCTATAGAAAATTTTATTTTTTTGAAAAGCATTCTGGTACTAAATGAAAATTTGAAAACTTCTATACCAGGCTATGGGCTACACATATAACCTCAATTTTGAACAGATTCATCCCTTCTTCAACTCAATACACACTTGAGCTGCTATCACCAGAATAGTATACTAAGTGAATCTCTACCAAATGATATACTATTCACCCTTAGGCTTTGAAGTTGGAAAGAAAGAAAGTAACCCTGTACATTGGAAAATGCAGAGTTCATTCATATCACAAAATTTTGTTCAAAATATTCAGGCTGTAAGAATTTCAATCACTGTTGAAAACCATGATACCAAGCAAAAGTAGAAAATAGCATGACTGACTTTCTTTTTTTAAGCAAATATACCTGAAATTAAACATTCATATTGGAATCGCCTTCTTCTGGTTATTCATTAACATCTAGCTTTGCTGTCCACTATGAGAGCCACTAGCAACATATGGCTCTTTAAATTTAAACAAATTCAAATTAAATATACTTTAAAATTCAGTTCCTTAGTTGCACTAGTCATATTTCAAATGCTCAATAGCCACTATATGGCTAATGGCCATCATATTAGACAGCACAGATATAGTATATTTCCCTCATCACAGGAAGTTATGTTAAAAAGTGCTGATCTGGCTGGGTATGGTAACTCATGCCTGTAATCCCAGCATTTCGAGAAGCTGAGGTGGGAGGACCACTTGAGCCCAGGAGTTTGAGACCAGCCTGGGCAACATGGTGAAACCCATCTCTAAAAATAAAAAATGCAAAACTTAGCCAGCCATGGTAGTATGGACCTGTGGTTCCAGCCACTGAAGAGGCTGAGGTGGGAGGATCACCTGAGCCCAGGAGGTTGAAAATACAGTGAGCTGTGATTGCACCACTGAACTCCAGCCTGGGTGACACAGTGAGACCTTATCTCCAAAAAAACTGGTCTATAGTTTGAGAACTGACTAAATTTACAATCTAATATTATCAAGTTTCACATTATAAAAAGTGACTTCAGAGCTTGCAAAATATTATTGTAAATTATCTTGAGAGTAGCAAATATTCCTTTGAATTTAATAACAGTCAAAAGTTATAAATAATTTTAGAGGTATTTTTTTAAATAGACCAATCTCACCCCTGATATTCTTGAGTTTTATCAGTGTATTATCAATGTATTCTCCCAATTGACAGGATTCAAACCCTCATCTAGAAGACCCAAATGGGGAAAGGATTAGAACACTGATGATCCATGAATGAACTGAGTTGTGACATTTGTATCCAAGTAACCACCAGCTCAGGCATCTAAAAACACACAGAAGTGCCTCAGAGCTGACCTCAAATAATGCCAAGTTCAATGTGTTTGGCATGTGTGATACCAAGAAGCCTCCTCCAAAGTCTTCAATGCAGTTACAAATGTATGCTATCTGTGACTCCCTAATCCCCACTAAAAGGACTATTCTCTATGACCAAAATTCAAGCCTTCTTGGACTTTTGGAGTACCTGTCTCTCTGATACAACTACTTCTAACTCACTATCTTGTGTGGTAAAGTTCCCTGTATTCTTTCAAGAAAACAGGAAGATACAGCACTGCATCACTTAGAAGGAGCAAAATGTCCTCACCATTAGAGATTGGTACTCATCATCCACAATATCTGACCTCCCAGGCTAATGTCACTGTACAGTACTTTTAGCAAGTTGGACTCTCTGGAACTTAGTATGGTTCTACAAATTGTACTAATGGGAGGCCTTTTAGAATACAGAGGGGCAAAATTAGTATGTGGTCATGTTTTTCTGATCTATATAGTGACCACTTTGGTAGACCATCATCTTAGCTGTTTTCTCTTCTCTTTTTGCCTTCCACTTGCAGGCCCAACATGCAGTTGCATCTTTAAATCATCCAAAAAAAGTCAAAGCCAATATAGTCAAATAGATCCAACTAAGCTATCTTAGTCAAAGTATTTGTACCTTGTAGTTTTGACTGCATTGTTCTTATCTCTTCAGTTTGGTTTTGGTTGATCAAACGAAGATTCTGATTCTCCAATTCCAGCTAAAAGAACATAATGGAATTCTTTTCACATAGAGATAACATTACAAAAATGTACTAATAAATTATAATATTAAAAACTACTAATATCTAGTTTATCTACATGTAAGCAAAATACAAAGGAAATGATAAACAAATATCGGATTTATTTATCAGAATAGGCTAACAACCTAGATAATTATGGCATCGATATTTACATTTTTCAGAACTAAGAATTTTAAATGTTTTCATCCCTTATGCCTTTTCCACTGTAAAATTAGTTTCAAGGAAACTATTTCAGCTTTAAACTGCCATAGAAACTGAAATGTGTGCCTCTCAGGTACCAAATACATTAATTTTATGAGCTATATATGTATATCCTATTATTATTATTTGAAATTAATTAGAACTAAACTTATTAGAATAAAGTTATTTACACTGATCATCATGAACCTATTAATATGTTTAATTTTAAAAATACACTAGATATTAAAATGAAAGCCACCTGTATCTCAAGTTTATCAAAAGACAGCAATATCAACTGATCAAACTTTTTTGTTTTACTCAGAGTAATCATATAGTCTGATGATGTGTCAATTCAAAAGAGGTAAAAGCTAAAGGAAAAGGAAAACATAAGCAATCAATACCTCATTTAACTTAACCGTTACCCATTCTTTGATCTTAGCTGCTTTCTCTTCTATTATTTTAGCTTCTTGTATTCTTATTTGTTTCTGAAACAACAATAGCAATCTGTTTAGTTCAAAAACAAACTCAGTGGTCTGGAAAAGTTATACCACAAATATACAAGGCAAATCCACTTAAAACTTGTATCCAAGTTACTATATCTACCTTCAAATTACCAAATAGATTTTTAAAAGAAAAAAAATTATTCAGTAGATACAATAGAAAACCATAAGGGCATATGCACGCTTTACTAGTTTTAACAACTGCTATTCTCCTTCTCTGAAAGATAATACACTAGAGTCAATTCACTGAATTTATCAACAAAATAAGCCATTTCTGGAAATGGTCTAGGATTTAGAACAGTAGCACAGGGGTCAACCATGTTGGGGAGAAGAAAATAAGAATCTCCTTAGGGGCATGGCTTTTTTTTTTCCCCTCAAATGCTAGCTTTCAAAGACCCAAGAAAAACAAACATAGAGAAACTCTAGCTCTCATTTACCAGCCTTAAAATCTGGTTATGGTCACAAAACTATTGAGAATGTAATTACAAAATAAATCACAATAGGCAGGGTCTAGGGGTGGTAGAAAACCACTGATCTAAAGAAACACTGATCTTTATAAAAAAATGGGAAAAAATGTTGAAAACAAACAACATAACACATTTAACAAAACGATTTCACAGTGGTCATGTTTAAATGATGGTGAGTGACCATTATGTACATAACCCCAATGCAATTTTTTCCTAATACATTTTTTTAAATTACTTGATTCCAATAAAGTGGTTCAAAAACAGTGTATACATTTCTAAGCAGAAGGATTGGCATCAAATATAAATATTTAAAATGTAATGTTCTATAAACATTCCCAACACTCTAAAAATCTGAAGCAAATATTGTTTGCAAACAATTTACGGACATAAATACCTGCTGATAACCAAATGTTCCCAATTTAAATACTACATTTAAACTCTAAAGTTTGGCCAGGCACAGTAGCTCATGCCTGTGATCCCTGCAGTTTGGGAGGCCGAGTTGGGTGGATCACCTGAGGTCAGGAATTCGAGAGTGGCCTGGCCAACATGGCGAAACCCTGTCTCTACTAAAAAATATATACAAAAATTAGCTGGGCATGTTGGCACATGCCTGTAGTCCTAGCTACTGGGGAGGCTGAGGCACAAGAATCACTTGAACCTGAGGAGTAGAGGTTGCAGTCAGCCAAGATCACACCACTGCACTCCAGCCTGGGTGAGAGCAAGACTCTGTCTTAAATAAACAAAAACAAATAAACAAACTCACTCACTCAAATGTTTGAATATTAAGGAGCATTTTCACATCTAAAACGAGTTAGATCTTGCCTCAGAATCTCTCGGAACTTAAAGGTATGCCATCTTACTTGCACCTTTCACCAATAAATGTGATGCAATCCTACGGGTTGACCAAATAAGCAAGATTTCTTCCCCAAATATAGAAATTTAGGCTCTCTCTTTTTAACCTTTGTGACTATGCACAAATGAGTGCACATACTTGGAACTCTTTAATTATCAAATTCTTCCTAACCTGCTCTTCAAGTTGCAATTCCAAGTTTTGAATGATGTCATCTTTTTCCTGTATTAGTGACTCCAGATCTTGACACTTTTTATATAACCTTGTCTCTGATTCACTGGTTTGAATATTAGCTGCTTTTAATTTCTCTTCCATAACTTGTACCTAAATTCAAAGGATAAAATATTAAAATTGTGCATGTACTTAGGTTATCACAGTATTAAACCTAGAATTTTACCTTAATATTATGTAGATTCCTAAAATACTTCAAAAAGAAAAATATTAAACAGCAAGGTTTAATGTACTTAATGATTATAAAGTCTGAAGTCTATTTCACCACGTGTTGTTACCTTTGAGGAACATACAAATATAAGAAATTCTCAGAATATTGCTATCATGTAAAGTAATGTACATAGTTCCTAGAGCAATGACAATATGCAAAGTGTTTATATGAGTACAGAAACAGAAAGCTTCTATCCCGCGATTTTTCATATTTTAAACAAACAGTATAAATTAAGGAAGGTGAGTGGTGAGATAAGACCCATACTGGAGGGCCTGGTATAATAATGTATTCTGGGAAAATATTAAACTTAAGTGAAAAAAAAAATATACACAATGGAAAGGGGGTGAAAAAGAACTCTAAAGCCCCAAATGATGGAATCATAAAAAATAAAAAAGTATTAGAGTCTAGATATAGGTAGGAGAGTGCACTCAGAAAGGGCTTCTTGATTCATTCATTTAACAAATATTCACTGAAAACCTGCCAATAGCTTGGCTTATTCCAGGCCCTGATAAAGCATCAGCAAATAAACTAGACCCCCAAATCTCTGCCTGCATAGAAATTACATTGTAGGCCTGGCACAGTGGCTCACACCTGTAATCCCAGCACTTTGGGAGGCTAAGGCAGGCAGATAGCTTGGGTCCAGGAATTCAAGAAATTACATTCTTGTGGGTAAGAGAGATCACAAATATAATAAAAATGTTTAAAACAGAAGAACACTACCGTACATTACTCAGGTGATAATGGTAGAGACAGGAGGCAGATAAATGCCTAGGCAGATGGGGTTGGTCCCCAGTGAAATACAACCTTCAAGCTGGAAACAGTCCCTGGTAAATCCTCGAACCAGACTGAGAATCTGCCTTCCCATTTGGCGTGCTTTTGATTGATCCCCATCCTTCACCTATTTCACATATACACTATCGTGTAGAAAACCACTTAGGAAAGGGTAGGTATATGTAAAATACGTACCACTTTTGAGTGATGTCTCCACTTTAACCTTTTTTGTATACTCACAAGCCAATCAGCATGTACTCCCTATTCTGAGCCCATAAAAAGCCCTGGCCTCAGCCATATTGGGAACTCTCCTGTAGGGAGACCACCCCCACATCCCTCTTCACTAAAACCTGTTTCATCGCTCAATAAAACTTCCTGCCTTGCTCACTCTTTGAGTGTCCATGTGACTACTTCTTCCTGGTTGTGAGACAAAAACCCAGATCTAGCTGAGCTAAGCAGCAAACAATCCTGCACCAATAAGGGTAATGGGAAAAAAACAGAACAGAGTAAAAGAGACTGTGTGTGGCTGAGTGGTGCTGCAAGTTTAATATCTAAGATACATTGGCCCTGCTTGGATCTTCTGCAAAACACATCCAGGAATATAAAATCTCAGAAGGGCATACCTGCATATTGTATTTGCCAACCTACATGGATGATATAAGTCTATTCAACTCATACTAAACTTTAGATTTTCCTATCACCACCTTTCGGTTCTCACTTTTCTCTCCTTTAGTTCTCATTCTGACTCACAAATTTGATCCTTGATTGTAGGTGGTCTAGTTGATTAGATGCCTCGGCAGAAACTCCACGAAGAGATCCAAATAAGAGATGTTTGAGATGTTAATCATAGTAAGAAGAATAATAAAGTATTGGCGACTGTATACAATATTAAGACTTTCATTCTAAATGTGATATAGCTGGCCTAGAATTAGAACCAGTACAATGCCATTTTAAAATGGGAAAACTGTTTCTATTCTCCTCACAATGACTGCTAGCCATGGCTTCTGTAAACTACTAAGATTACCTTGCAAAACGCAAAGAGAGGACAAGCTGCATACTTTCTCTTATCTGTAACTGCCAGAATTGCTGGCCTTTGTTTACCAAAGTAAGCACCCCCAGATAATTCCATCCTGGCGCCAAGTAACCTAAAATTATGTGGACCCCACACCTGTCCAAATAATGTATAAACTAATGTTTACCTTGACCTCTGTAAACCACTTAGGTGGCAATCGGAATGACAAAAGTCCCCTGGCCCTTGGAGTATCTGGAGCCCCCTAACCCTCCTCTCAGCCTAGGAGGTGATTGACAGCTTTCATTCCCATCTCCGCTCCTCACCCCCACTCCCAAGGTGGTTTTGTGGTTATAAAAAGGTCTTGTCACTCTTCTTTCTGGGCCATGGGTTGGAGAGACGTGAGTCCTCCGTGGTCGCCGGCAATAAACCCTGTAATTTGGCATTCTTTTGTTCTGGTGTTGACTTTCTGTGCTGAGTGCGATATAACATATATACTCCAAATAGGTAAGAATATAATTTTAGCAACCTTTCAGATTACAGGGGCAAAGAGAAAAAATAATGTGAAAGCATCTGAGAAATTAAAGATGACAATTAAGATGAATATCTGACATTATTAAAAACACTTCTGAAAAATCACAATGAATACTTAATTAAGGCTAAAAAATATTTGACTAATGAGGGTTTTCTTCTGAAAAGATATAAAGGTTAGTTTGGATTTATATTTTTTAACCATAAATGCCAAGTTTCATCTGTGGGCTCACTGCATAAATGTGAATCAACTCATAAGCTAAAATGGTTCTATTTAAATATCAACCACATGGCCGGAAACTAGAAAAATAAAAGCAGATCAAAAAAAAAAAAAAAAAAGGAGAAGGAGAAGAAGAAATGTATTCCACTATCCAAATGATGATTTAAGTTACATTAGATTCTAAGTAATTTAATGGCCTTTCTGCATGAACTGAAGGACAAAGATCCGTATCAAGGACAAAGGTCTTGTCATGCAAGATGATGTCATGCAAAACTGCCCAAGCAGGACAGAGAGCTGGATGGTAATCTTAAGATGGTATAGCCAGTTGCACATAGGGCATTGTGTAGCTGAGGAAGCAGGGAGACAAGAGCAGAGCCCAAGTCCAAAATGGAAGTTCTCCTCTGGGCACAGGGTAACAGAGGTAAACCTCAAGAAAAACAAAAGTAACTGAGTAAGAATAAAAATAAATGCTAACAGAGCTACACCTACAGTGTCCCTTTATTAAGTTAAAGCAAGCCACCCTACAGACATTAGGCTGCCACATAAAACAGTCCTATCATTGTTTAGAAAAGATCTATAGTCCTGGAAAACTATGGTTTGAACCTACTCTTTTACCCTGAAAACCACATTCATTTTGGAAGTTGTTATTATATGAGTGAATGCTATAGAGCTCCCTGGATGCATCCTTGCCATCTGAAGCTCTTTAATTTGACCATTACTTTTAGACAAACAACTTTCCTAGGGAAGAAAAATATTGGCAAAAAGGGCAAAATCTCTTAGAGAAAGAGACCACAAAGTAGTTACAGGCAACTTACTTACCAACTAGTCCTGTTAAGACCAAATTCTGTAGACAGGATTCAGCCTTCCTTGGTAATTAATATGAACAAGAGGTCTACAGAAAAGCCAAGATGCCTTTGAAAACATCTCACCACAACCATATGGAAAATAGCCCACTTCTTTTTCCATGCATTTAACCAGAACCATTTAAGAATTTTAACTATGCAGAGACTAGCCAATAACAAACACCTGTGAATTCAAATTGGTTGTTAAAGAAACTCTCACAACTGTGTATATATGGATAGCCTCCAATATGGAATGCTTTGTGTTTTTAGGCTACTTTGCTCCTTTACTTCTAGGAGAGCCTCTGGTTACAGCCACCCACCTCAGCACACTCCTCACTCATTTCCCCCAAACCTTCTTGATTCCAAGGTCCCTAAATTCCTGTTCAGCAAAGGGTTCACTCAGCAGACTTGGGGTGCTCAGATCCTGCAATTCCAAAGAAAGCACTGGTCCTTCACTGGCTCTTAGGAGACAACCTCCGATGCCCCAATATATGACTGTTAAGACCACCTTTGTATTAATATATCTGAGAACTTGGGCTATCCTACATAGTTTATGCTCATGGTGTGATTTACGGTGAATGCCTGTTTTTCTGTTCACCTGGGGCCCTGGGCCAAACGTATCAGTTTGACCTCTGGGTAGGCTGGAGACTGACTAAGATCAGTCAGGTAGATATTTCAGGCCTACATGACTGACCTCTAATAAAAATCCTGGATACCAAGGCTTGAGTAAGCTTATTTGTCAGCTATATTTCATACACTGATGATTAAGTGTATCCCTGTGCAACTCCACTGCAGAAAGACAACTGGAAGCTCGTACCTGATTTCTCCTGGGCACCACTCTATGTGCCTTTTTCCTTTGTTGATTTTAATCTGTATCCTTTCATTGTCATAAACTGTGACCATGAGCAAAATAGCTTTTCTGGGTCCCATGAGTCATGCTAGCAAACCGCTGAACCCAAGAGTACTGTAGGGGATCCCATACAGCTTCCAGTGCTATTTTTTCATAGCAGAAAGCAAGAGCTGCATATACTACTCCAACTGTAATTATCTATATCGCTATTTCCTCCTTCCCATTTCTAACCTCATTCCTCTCCACTATAGGTAATCAAGATGTGACTATATTTTTGAGAGGAGGTTGAAAGTTTCTATTTCTATATAAAAATTGCTATGGCATGAGAAAGATTCCTGATTGTTTCCATATAGAATGACAAAAGTAATTGTTTAGAGTATTTTGAATCCCAGACTATTTTCCAGTTACTTAAAATTTACTTGTTGATTTATGTAGATTTGTTTAGGTTGTTTAGATTCATACAATAACAACTTCCTATAGGATTCTGGATATTAGACCATTGTTGGATGCATAGTTTGTGAATATTTTCTCCCATTCTGTAGGCTGTATGTTTCCTCTGTTGACAGTTTCTTTTGCTGTGCAGAAGCTATGGGTAAAGGACATGAACAGACACTTCTCAAAGGAAGACACAGGCTGCCTGCGGTGGCTCATGCCTATAG